ACTTAGACGTGACTTAAAACCCCTGAGATAAGTCTAGTGTTCTCAACGGGCACCCATGGTGCCTCCCTGCCCAGCCCAAGGCCCCGTCTGCCAGGTCTGCTCTCCAGCTATGCTCAGCTCCTCCACACCCCTCCCTGAGCACCATCTGCATACGTCCCGCCTCTGGGCCTTTGCATAAGCGGTGCCATGCCCAGCCAGCCTTCCTCAGCATTTTCCACTCTGCCGCATCCTTCCGGGGGCCCTGCTCAGGCACCCCCTGCCCCAGGAGCTGATCCAGATTCCCAGCCAGAGTAACTCACTGGTGCCTGAGACCCTGGCCACCCTGTGGTGTCTCTGTCTGGCTCTGACTAAATCCTGTCTGGGTCAGAGTGATTTGTGATTAAGTGTGTGTCCCCCAAACTGTGATCTGCTCTGAGTCATCCATGACAACCCCCACCCCCACCACTGCAGAGCCCGGCTCAGCATAGGGCCAGGCCCAAAGGAGGTGTCCTGGAAATGTCAAGGTGGGCCGATGCCCATCCCCTCCTCACCCCATGCCAGCCATATTTCCAATGTGTTTGACTGAGAGGCCTCGGTGCAAGATCCCTGAGGGGTGGGAAAGGGGAGTGGAGACGATCACAGTGATCTCAGAACCTGCTGCCTCCCAGGCACCGTGCTGGGTGCTGGCCTTGGAGAGGTCCAGGGATTTGCTCGAGGTCCACGGGTGAATTTGTGCCTGGGGCCCAGGTCTGCCGAATTCCAAAGCCTCATCAAACGCTTGAGGGACTGGTACTCAGACAGCAGGGTCACAGAGCCCCCAGAGGCCGTAAGGCTCCCAGTTGTGCTAGTAGCTCACTGAGCCTGGGCTGAGCTGGGGTTTAGAGGGCTAGTTAGTAGGTCAGTGAGAACCTGTGTGTGCGTGTGGGGGTGGGGGTGGGGTGTGTGTGCTGAGCTTTCCCAGCCACCAAGCCCTCCATGCCTGGGTCCGCCAGGGGTGAGTCATCTTGCTGGAGCAGACTTCCCCCAAACCCGACATTAACCTTTGCTCCAGCTGCCCCTACATCTGATAGTCCCTTCCCTTCCCACTTCCCACTGGGACTCAGAAAAAATAGCATCGCTCCCAGAGGAAGGCAGTCTTGAGTTCAAATCCTGACTCTGCCACGGAGTCACCGAAGGACGTCGGGCTCGTCACCCCACCTCGGTTTCCCCATCTGGGAGGTGGGGCTGTGCAGATCACAGGGGGCTCCATGTGTGGGTGCTGACTTTAGTGTCATAACCACAGGGAGGCCTGTCTGCCAGCCTTGCCCGCCGTCGCACGCCCCGCCTAGGCTGTCAGACAGGAGCACCTGCTGAGCTAGTGTCTGTCACCACACTGTCCCCAGGGCCACCTCCCCCAGGCTGTTTCCAGCCACAGGGCGCTGAGTCAGACCAAGACCCTCCCTCCATCCTGTCAGCCACCACTGCTGGTCCCTCGTCCCCACCTCCCATGCCACACTGGGCATTTAGATACACAGTCCCCCCCCACACACTTCTGTTTTAGCAAACTGAGCCCAGGGGCATGGTTCACCCACACTTACACCAGGAGCCCGCTGTGGACCTGGGACTAGACCCAGAACACCCGGCTGAGCCTTGCGGGGGCTATGCTAAGAGGCGTCTGCAGAGCCATCGTGGGGAGCAGTCACCCCTGGGCCCACCCACCTTGGTCTTTCCCACGGAGCCTCAGCATCTCAGCACCAGCCCTCCCTCACCGTCGGGCCGCCCAGCGGCGGTGCCAGGTCCGGAGCACTCGCCGTGCCAGCTCTGTGCTAAGCGCTTGTGGGTTTTCAGATGTTCCTCCTATTTCTCGAGTCCTCTTCTGCACACTCACCTGCCCAGCACCCCTGGACGGGACCACGACAGCCCTGTCCTCGCTGGCTGGCCTCTTGGCCTCCACGCAACAGGAAGTACCCCACCCACACTGTCCCCTCAGCCTGGCCGCCCACATGCCCCCATACACAGCCTACGAGACAACCTCCCGGAGAAGGTGAGGGACTCGGAGTTCCCACATGGCCTGCACCCCGACCTGGCTTGCCCACAAACACGGCACTTCTCTGACATTTTACCTCTGCCAAAAATGTCCTTTCCCCTTCTCCATGTGTGAGACCTGAAGGCATCCTCCAGGGACCTTCCCTGTGGGGCTAGAGGGGTTAGTGTGCATGTCTGTGGCCTTGCTTTCCACATAGGCCGGGGACAGGGCCCACTGTGTCCTGGTTGTGGGGGTCAGGCAATGTCAGTGGACCTCACCCTGCATTTCCCTAAACAGACTCCCCACACCACGTCTTTGTCCATACTGGTTCTCCTCCACAGAAAGCCCTCCCCCACCCTCAGGGCCACCTCGGACACACAGCCCCGACCCCAGTGACCAGGGTTTTCTACCACAAATGTGTACACAGACCTGGGGTGGTGCCCCAGGCAGAGATGGGTCCGACAGTGCCCGAGCAGGGTCCAGCAGGACCACGGGCCTCAGCCTGAAGGTGGAGCCACCCGAGCAGGCCCTGCACTCGGCTCCTTCGCCGCTGGAAGGCTCTGTAGGCTGACAGCGAGCTCCCTTCTTCACACGAGGGATGTAGACTCAACCTCAGACCTTGGGAGGAGAAGTGAGCAGCTGTGGTCACAGAATGGGTCAGGGGTGGACTGACCTGGGTAGCAGAGAGATGAGGAAGCTGCAGTTTCAGTATGTCTGCGTATCTATCTGCGCCTGACTCAAAGCCTCCCTCAGACAATTAATGTTATCGCATTTGCTCCCAGAAATGAGAAGTGGACATCCCCACAGTGGGTGGCCTGGGAAGAGTGGAAGGTCAAGGTCAGGCCAGTAGCCTAGAGAGGCCCAGCCAGGCACCTGGGCCTGGGGTCCCAGAGAGGGAGTTCCTCTCACCCTCCCCAGAACCTGCTGGTCACTTTCTCAGACTTTCCCCAATCCTCAACACTCAGGGCTATTTCCACCTCCTCCAGGAAGCTCTCCAGGATTAGTCCATCCCTGTATCAGGACCTTATGGCTTAGAGCAAAACTGTCACAATGTCATTTCTCCCACCCAAACTGGAGCTGTTGGGGCCCTAATCCCACATCCTTCCCATACTTAGCTCAATTGTGTAATCTCATTGCAAGCCCACTCTATCTTGCCCTTTTTTTTTTTATCCTCACCTGAGGACATGTTTGCATTTATCTTCAGATAGAGTGGGAGAGAGAGAGGGAGGGAGAGAAACATCCACGTGAGAGAGACGCATCAACTGGCTGCCACCCACACAACCCAAACAGGGGCTGGGGATGAACTGCAACTGAGGTACGTGCCCGTAGCGGGAACCGAACCCAAGACTCTCTGGTCCGTGGGCCAACGCTCTAACCGCTGAGCCAACCCGGCCAGAGGCTATCTTGCTCTCTGCTGTCCATCAGCTGGGGGAGCGCCTAGGCCTCAGAAGGGGTTTGATAAACGTCATCTGGCTTGGTATGTCTGAAAAAGGGCTGGTCATTCCAGAGGTCCCGGGAGGCAAACAAGCGGAGCCATGAGTGATGCCAGGGTTGCTGCCCAGGCCCCGGGAGTTCTAGAGCTGGGAGGCTCAGTGGCCTGGGCTGGACTCTCATTTCTACTGCGTGTCTGTAACCCTCGACAGTCCCTGCTCCTCTGGGCCCCGGTCACCTCATTGGGAGGCTCCGAACCAGAATTTAAACATCTTCTCCAGACATTCTTGGTGTTGGGGGATCAAAGCCATAAGCTATGAAAAGAGTGAGACCCTCTCCACAGACCTTATGTATCTGAAAAGAAAGGTAAGTCTACACTGTAAAAGAAGGACAAGAAAGCTCAACAAAGTTCTGGCATTTCACTGACTATTTTGATGTTTCTGTAATATCACCAATTAGAATGTGTCCCCAGATACATGCTCCGCTGGTGCCCTGCACAGGCCTGGCCTGCCTCTTGGAGACCTGGCACTGTGGGGGATGCTAATCCCGAGTCCCTCCCAGCATGGACTCAGCGCTCAGACCCTGGTGCTCACTTGCGGCCATGGCCCACCCCTCAGGAGAACTCACTCCCCCAGGAGCCCTGCAACTACTGTGCCCGATGTCCATCTCACTCTTCCGTCAAGCTTCTGAGCAGAGCAGGAGACCCCAGGAAGCCCGCCAGATCACCAGGCAGGACGGCCCTGGCCTCACTTGATCTGAGCAGTCTCTAGGGGCCGGCTGACTGTGCTCCATCCATCCCTGCGGCCATGCGGGCAGGTACGGGCTCAGGGCTGGGCTTGCTTGCCCCAAGCGGCTTCCACGGGAGGTTTAAAGGCCAGAATGGACCTTCCAGATAGTGGGAAGAGGAAATGTCCCTCTCCCCCTACCATACACACAAATCCTTACATTGGCTCCAACATCAGGACAGGAAGCAGACTCACTCCCCCAGAGCCTTCTGCATCACCCTCTGCCACACAGACCCACACCTGTCCCTTGTCAACGCTCACGTTCTCACAGGGCCCTCGCCTTCATCAGCTAACTCCTGGTCTGCAGAAGGGTGCTCTGCTGGGGGGAGGAGGCACCGCCAGCCTCCACTGAAAACAAGCTCAGCAGAGCCCTGAGGACCTGTTCAGTGGGAGTGTCACGGGGAGAGGGCCTGGCTGGGGAGGGAACGGGGTGCCGGAGCTCCGCAGTCTGAAGCCACAGGCTGTCAGTGCTGTGAACAGAGCCTCTGAGGAAGAGCATCTCCCTGGGGATATTCCCACACCTTCTGACCTCTCAGCAGAGCCCTGAGGACCTGTTCAGTGGGGGTGTCACGGGGAGAGGGCCTGGCTGGGGAGAGAACGGGGTGCCGGAGCTCCGCAGTCTGAAGCCACAGGCTGTCAGTGCTGTGAACAGAGCCTCTGAGGAAGAGCATCTCCCTGGGGACATTCCCACACCTTCTGACCTCTGGCTCTGACTGAGCCCACTAGACAGACACCAGACAGACAGATTAGGCTGTGCGAGGGCACAGCAGCACCTCCGGCAGGGGGTGAGGCTGACTTACTGGTAGCGCAGAGCAGAACATGGAAGAGCCACATCCTAGCTGAAGCAGAGGCAGCGAAGTGAGTCTCAGCCAGCTCAGCTTCCCCTCCTCAGCTCAGGCGGCCAGGAGGCGGGGACAGAGGCAGACACAGGCAAGGACCCACAGGCAGACAGGCGCTTTCAAGTACACACAAGCGCTCCCACTGGTACACAGCTGGTCTTCGTGGCTTCCTCGGCAGCTGTGGCGGAGTCCTGGGAGCTTAGAGACACCTGCTGCCAGCCCTGTCCATCACCCACTTTCGTGGAAGGGTAAGCTGAGGTGTGGCCTGGACGAAACTCTGGATGTCCTTGGCCAGGAGCAGTATTAAGCTGGTTGTTGTTGATCATCCACGTAAGTCCCAGCCCCCGCCCCAGAACACACCACCAGACAACTCAGCCCAGCACCCAGCCCAGGGTCCTCGGTGACAGTTGCCTCAGCAGTGATCATGAGTCCCCCTCTGACCCATAGCTAGAAACTGGGCTCCTGTACCCCACCCTGAACTTGAAGCCCTGAGGCTACGGAGGGCCAGGTGTGTGGAAAGATCCAATGCATTGACTGAAAGTACTTCCTCAATTCAGCTGCGGCTGCATTCTCTAAAACCTGGCTAAGGCCTGGCTGGTGTGGCTTAGTGGACTGGGCATCGTCCCATGCACGCGCCAAGAAATCACTGGTTCAATTCCCAGGTAAGGTACATGCCCAGGTTGCGGGCTCGATCCCGAGTAGGGGGCATGCAAGAAGCAGCCAATAAATGTATCTCTCTCCCTTCCTCTCTCTCTAAAAATCAATAAAGACATAATTAAAAAAACAACAAAAAACTGGCCAGAGCACCATGACGCCAGAACTAGTTTAACAGAGCTCTGAACTGCCAGAACGGCAGCAGAATTAAATTCCCTAACCTTTCAGCCCACTCTGAGCCAACCAGTACCCCAGCAGACACGCTGCCAGCAGTCTGCAACCACAGTTAAATGCTAACTTCACAATTCATCAAATTTCCCCCGTGTGACCAAGTCTCGCAGAAGGTGTTTTCTCCCACGCCCTGCGTCCCAGGCTGCTGCCGTGCAGAGCAGCGCCGTTCCAGGGCTCTGTGCTGCGCAGTCTGCATCTGCATCTGCATCTGCACAGGCCGACACGGCAACCGCCAGCCACAGGTGGCACCCGAGCCCTGCCATGCCACCAGGGCCGCGAGGAACAGAATTTTATTTAATTTTAATTGGTTTACATTGAGAAAGGCAGAGATGCTCTCTCACAGGAATGGCTCCGTCTCGAGGGAGAGTGCTTCAAGTGTGAGTGGAAGTGCTGAAACATAGCAGACAATAGTGTTGACTTAATGATTAGAAGGAAATCAATTTTATTTTGTTTCTCACATTAAAAGCTTGCTTGGCCAAAGTCTTATCAAGATTGATGACACTTCAAACATTTTTGCATTGTCTGCTTTAGTTTTACCAAGTACCTACTAGTATGACAGACCCTGATGTTACATGGCTGTTAGATAGATTACAATTCACCAATTTCATATTTGAAGCCATCTAACAGAGAAGTTCAACAGCTGAAAAACGAAGTTCCAGGTCTGACGGTCTGATGATTTGCCTCCCAGATCACGATGGAGACCATCCCAAGTTGGCTAACCCTTGTCATAGACAGGAGGCCTGGCCTGTTGTCCCCCTCACCAGGGCTCAGTGATTCTCCCCTCCCCACACCTGTTCAGAGCCACAGGGGCTCCTCTCCCCACCAACGTCCCAGAGGGGCAAGAGCAGCCCCAAGCCACAGAGCAGACCAGCAGCAGGGACAGGCTGGAACCCAGGACTGTAGCTTGCTTGAGATTTCTGAGAAGCAGGACTTCACATTTGGAGTGTGAACTTCAGGACACCTCAGGAGACCAGGCTATTTTCTGCATCTTTGGTGATGTCTAGAATGAGGACCCACCCTGCGCCCCTATGAGGTGCATGCATCCAAGCTCGCTGATGCCAGCATGGCAGACCTCTAATCCTGAGCACACACAGGGGCTCTTCAAGTCCATCTGATAGTAACTGCTGTCCCCACAAACCCAAACCTAAGACCCTAAGGGCTGTGCACAAAGCTCGGTGTGCAGCAAGTACATACGTATTCAGAAGGAATGTGAAAATGATTTCTGAACTCATTTTATTTTAAACAAATGTTAAGAGGCCAGCTCAAGGAACATTCCACAACATAGATGAACGGAACTCTTCAAAAACATTAATATCATAAAAGACAAAGAAAAGCTAAGGAATTGTTCCAGACTAAAGGAGAATAAATGTAGTGCCCGACACTGGATTGAATCCTAGACACCCCCCCTTCCCAAAGAGCTCTAAAAAACATTATTGGTTCAGCAAAATATAATATCATTCCTGGGAATGGTAACCAGAAGGCAAGTCTCTGGTTACGGCCAGAAAGCTGAGAGGTGAATGGCATTATCCTGGTGAGTTACACAAAGGGCACCAACTCTGGCTGGAATTGATTTTCATTAAAAACAGGGGGTTGGGGGGACCACATTATTGGGACAGTTGGCAAAACTAAAACATGAACTACAGATACTACTGTACCAATGAGATAAAGTTAAAACAGTACTAAATCATACATTACCTGAATTTGATAACTATACTATGGTCATTATGAGAGAATGTTTGTCCTCAGGAAAGGTTCACTAAAATATTTAGAGAGGAAAGAACAAATGATAAAATGTGGCAAAATGTTCTTTATTCTACCCTTGAAACTGTTCTGTAACTTCAGAAATAAAAGTTTTACATTACGGGATGGAAGGGCCGTGTTCAGCATGATGGAAAAGGACCAGCTTCTCTGTCTTGAGAGTTGAGTCAGAAGCACAGTGTCTGTGCTCACCAGTGGGTGGGGTGTCCCACTTGCCTTCTAAGTCCTAAGAGGGAGTTTGTAAGAGGGAGGGTGTCACTGAGACTGGAGACAGGACCGCAGCGGAGGACAGAGCCGGCCAAGGGGAGCAGGGAAGACTGAAGAGCAGCAGCAAGCACCCCCGCTGATGCGCACTCAAAAGGGAGCCCCAGACTCGGTGCCAAGGGCCTTCCCTGCAAGCCCTCTGGCATTCTCAAGCCACCCTGCTGGGTCATCCCAGTTTCACAAATGAGGGGCCTGCTTGGCGAAGGTGGTTAGGTGATTTTGCCCAAGGCCATATGGCCAGTAAGGGGCAGAGATGGGACTCAAACATGTCTATCTTCTCCAGAACCAGGACTCCAAACCACTCCAAACCTGTGCCTTCAGACCTATGGGTCTGAATCCCTCCCAGTTCCTGAGCTATTAAAAAGCAGGGACTTCTGCCCTGGCTGGGTTGGTTCAGTGGTTATAGCATTGGTCTGAGGACTGAGGGGTCTCCGGTTTGATCCCAGTCAGGGGCATGTACCTAGGTTGCAGGTTCCATCCCCTGGCCCTGGTTGGGGTCATGTAGGAGGCAACCAATTGATGCGTCTCTTTCACATTGATGTTTCTCTCTCTCCCTCCCTTCCACTCTATCTGAAAAATAAAATAAAATAAAAAAATAAAATAAAATAAAAATAAAGAGCAGGGACCTCATTCCACAAACATACTGGAATCCTTGCATTACTAGGTGCCATGGACTGAATTGTGTTCCCTGACCCCCATATTAATATGTTGGAGCCATAACCTCCAACTTGACTATATTTGGGGATAGGGCCTTTAGGAGGTATTTAAGGTCATAAAGGTGGGCCCTGATCCAACAGGCATAGAAGAGGAAGAGAGAGATCCTAACAAAGACTCTCTCCCTCTCTCCCCCTCTCCCTCCCTCCCTCTGTCTCTCTCATAAATTAAATTTAAAAAAAGAAAGAAGAGGAAGAGAGCTTCCTCCCTCCAAGTGCATGCAACACAGGAAGGTCCTGCGAGGACACAACGAGAAGGTGACTCTCTGCAAGCCAGGAAGACAGGCCTCACCAGAACCCAACCATACTCATATCCTGATCTTGGACTTCTAGCCTCCAGATTGTGACAAAATAAATTTGTTGTTGAAGCCACCCAGTCTATAGTATTTTGCGATGGCAGCTCAAGCTGACAAATACAGTGGGCTACCTCCTAAAAAATCTCCCAAATAAAATGTTGAATGGTGTGTGTGTGTGTGTGTGTGTGTGTGTGTGTGTTGGGGAAGTGCTTAGTGGGGAGGGAGCAAGGGAGAGGATCCTCCTGATCTTTCGTAACAGAGGCTGGGGTGGGGGGGTTGCACATGAGTCATGGAACCAAGGGTCCAAGGGCTTAGACCTCTTGCTTGCCCCCACCTCCTTCCTGTCCAGCTTACAGTCCTGACGCTCCTTGGGAAAGGACAGCAAAGGGCCTAAAATTCACATTAACACTAAAAGAAAACTGGAGCTCATCTCAGTGGAGCCCTTCATGTGACAGATGGGAAAACTGAGGTACAGAGAAGTGAAGGGGCTTGCTTCATCTTTTGCTGTTTGTATGTGAGACAAAGTGAGTTCCCAGGGCTCTGGCCCCAGCCTCCATATTATTTGACTCTCCCCAAAAGACACTCTACCTGAGCTAAAGGTGCTGCACCCTGCTCACAAGAACCATGAGGAACCCTTACCAATGACAAGAAGGGACGCATCACAGGATTAAACACAGCAACCCCAGGAAGGGATGGGAATGTCATGTCTTCTCTCCTGCCAACTATGTGGGCCTCTTGCCCTTACTGACCTACACTGATCTAGGGGCAAAGGTGACAGTCTGAGGTCAAACACATCTTCACTACTGAAGAATCTGGTCACTAAGAGAAAGCCTCCAGAACTGCTCAAACAAAAACAATTAAGAGCCCCGGGCCCTGGCTGGTTTTGCTCAGTGGTTAAAGCGTCAGCCTGCGGTCCAGAGAGACCCGGGTTCGGTTCCCGCTAAGGGCACGTATCTTGGTTGCAGTTTGTCCCCAGCCCTGCTTGGGTTGTGCTGGTGGCAGCCACTTGATGTGTACCTTTCACATCGATGTTTCTCTCTCTCTCTCTCTTCCTTTCTCTCCCTCCTACTCTATCTGAACAAAAAATGGAAAAATGCCCTCGGGTGAGGATTTAAAAAAAAAAAAAAGAGCTCCGGGACAGGGTACTGATTAAACACCACCCACATTCTAGAGTTTCATTGATACAACAGCAAAACCCCACTTCAATGTCTCAACTATTGGAAATAGGCTTTTGAACTGGCATTTCCATGATGGCTTCTGGGAACATCAAAGGTCTGTGAAATGTTCATAAATTTTATGTTTTAATAATGTTACAGTATTGCCCTGGCCGGTTTGGCTCAGCCTTTGAAGCTTCGGCATGCGACCCAGAGTCCCGGGTTCAATTCCCGCTAGGGGAACGTACCCCCCCCCCCCAAATAAAGTAAAATAAAATAAAATATAAACATTGAAAAAAAAATGTTACAGTATTGCCTGGCCGGTGTGGCCCACTGGTTGAGCATCAACTCATGCATCAAGAGGTTGCCGGTTCAATTCACGGTCAGGGCACATGCCCAGGTTGTGGGTCAAATCCCCAGTGAGGGGCATGCAGGAGGCAGCCAATTGATGTTCTCACTCATCGATGTTTTTCTCTTTCTCTCTCAAATCAATAAAGAAAAAATATTTTTTAAAAATGTTACAGTATTTTTTCTTCTAAGATTTTGTAAACATATAGAAAAAGTTCTAGGTTACCAACAGTGAGAATACACAATAACAATCTGTCTTGAAGTGTGCTATTCTCAAGATTATAAATACATTCTGTCCTTTTAGCTCTTAAAGAAAAAAAAATAGTTTTACTTCTAAATTACTTTTTATATAAGGTTTAAAAAAAATTATACATCAAACTTATTTATATAGCAATTAATTAATCTGTGAAGCCATGAGTTGCTATTAACTTTAATCCACATTGCCTGTCAGCATGTTGCCAAAATGTTAAGAAGGCTCACTCCCAGAGAGATGGAATGCTACGTTAGGCAAAAGTTGCTGCGGGAAAGAGTTCTGTTTCCCTTCTTTGGACTGCTGTCACTCTCCTCACCAACAGAACCAGAGGCTAAGAACTGGCCCTGCAGTCCCTCTTTGGGGCATGCCGTCCACCTGCCCACTTCCTTTCCTGCTCTCTGGGGGCAGATGAATGCCTTTTTTTTTTATTTAAAAAAATTTATTTTGAGAGAGAGAGAGGGAGAGACAGAAACATCGATGAGAGAGAACATCGACTGGCCGCTTCCTGCATGCCCCCAACTAGGGATTTGGCCCACAACCTGGGCATGTGCTCTGACCAGAAATCAAACCAGCAACCTCTTGGTGCATGGGTAGATACTCAACCACTGAGCCACACCAGCCAGTTGAGTGCCTTCTTATCTACATAATTCCCTAGCAAATTCTTTATAGAGCTGGGAAAGCTGCAGCTCAGATCTGGCCAGATCACCAAAATGTGAATTTTATTGTGGTCTAATAAATGATATTTTTTCTTATACAAGTACACTGTATGTATTCTTAACAATCTTCCTCTTTTTGAATCTGGTGGTCTTGACTAGAAGTAGACAGACCTGCAGACAAAGGTGCCAGATCTGAAGGGTACCACAATCCATTCATTTACCGAATTCTCTTTAAGCACCACTTACTCTGGCTTGGCGTGGTGGGAGGATACAGAGGTAACAACATGAAGACACCTGCTCATTAGGAGCTCACAGGATAGCAGGGAAAATACAACAGAAAAAAAGTGTGGTGTGTACAAGGTAGAAAAACAAAGACTAGCCTGGAAAAGGACCCAGGGCCTCAGCAGAAAAACTGCTCCCACAGCGGGGGGTTGTACACATCCATTGCATGCCCATGGGGGACCTGTCAGGTGCCAGGCAGGATGCTAGCACTGGGGAAACCCCAAGAATGGGCTAGACAGGGTCCCTGCTCTCACAGGGCTTAAAGTCTAGCAAAAAGACAAAGTAGGAACAGGGAATTACAATCCAGTGTAAAGATGTGCAGGTTTAGAAGAGTACAGAGATTTGGTATCATATACACACTTCACTTAGGCAAAAACTATGGTATTTGTCTGGCAAAAGAGAGAGAGGGAGAGAAGAGAGAAAGGGAGGGAGGGGGGCAGAGAGAGAGAGAGACAGGAAAAAGGAAAATAACTTTAAGTCGTTTGGCCCAGTCCACCTGCCCCTCTACTCACTGAGCAGACAGGCAGGAGGGCCTGAAACGAGCCTGCGCCTCTGCTGCTCCCGCAGCCTGTCTTAGTCCCAAGAGCCTCTTCTCACCTGAGTGGGACTCTGACACCTAAAAGGAAGTGTTTTTATACAACATGGCCCTAATAATTGCAGGCCAACCACTTTACCTGGTGCTCAATCAAAGAAACCATGATCTGTTGCCACATGGGCAGGAGCAAACTGCACTCAGGATGGACCTCACGATGTTGGCCTTCAACATGGCACCTTCCTCAGGGTTTCCAAGAGGAATTTTGATTACACTTAATGATTCTCTTAGGCATGATTTTATAACCTAACCCTGGCGTGAGTCAAGACTACTATGGAACACAAAGCAGGGACCCATAACCTGGCTCTGGAAGTTGGGGGTAGCCTCATTGAGGGGTCTCTGAATCCTGGAGCATGAGGGAAAAGAAAAGGCAAGGCAGGAGGGGAACAGGACCAGGGGAAATGTGTCACTGAGGGAGGAACAGCACTGAGCAGAGTCTGGAAGGCTGGTGAGATGAAGATGAGCCCAGTAAGTAGTGAACAGAGGGCCGAGAGGATGAGGTGAACAGGCCAGAAATACTCCCACAGGTCAAATCTTGACCAGCCTTGTGAACTACCAAAGGAGTTTGGGAATTATTCCAAGGGCAATGATGAAGCTTTGGAAAGGCTTTAAGCAAAGAAATAACAGGAATAACTTCCATAAGAAAGTTCAACCTGAAGCACATGAAAAAATGGCTAACATCATTAGTCATCAGGGAAATGCAAATCAAAACCACAAGATACCAATTTACATCAGAAAATAAGTTGTTGACAAGGATGCAGAAATACTGGAAACCTGCTGAGGAGAAAAGAAAAATGATGCAACCACTTGGGGAAAGTCTGGCAGTTCCTCAAAAGGTTAAAGATGGAGATACAGTGTGACCCAGCAATTCCACTCCTAGGTACGTAACCCAAGAGTAATGAAAACATCTGTCCATGCAAAAACTTGTACATAAAGGTTCACAGGAGCACTATTCAGAATAGTCACAAAGCAGAAACAACCCAAATGTCCATTAACAGGTGAAGAGATAAATAAAATGTGGTACAGCCAAACAATGAAATATTATTCAGCAGCAGAAAGAACGGAAATACTGATACACGCTACAACATGGATGAACATTGAAAATACATTTAGTGAAAGAACCCAGTCACAAGTCATATCAAGTGTATGATTCCATTTCTGTGAAATGTGCAGAGCAGGCAAATCCAGACAGAAAGACTGGGTGCCGGGAGGAAAGAGGGAATGAGGAGTGACTGCCAATGAGTACAAGGTTTCTTTTTAGTGATGGCAATATTCTAAAATTGATATGGTGATGGTTGCACTTCTCTGTGAATATACTAAAAGCTACTGAAGCGTATACTTTAAATGGGTGAACTGTATACTATATAAATTATATTTCGATAAACTGCTAACAAGAGTTCATCCTGGCTACGGTGCAGAATAGAGGGAGATGAGGCAGAGACCAGCAAAGAGGCTGCTACGAGGATGGAGTGGGAGACCATAGTTGAACTAAGGGGAGGAGTTCACAGGACTGGACTAGAGGCCAGGTAAGGAGGTTCACAAGTTCCCCTGGGTAGCTGGTACCTCTCCCAAGAGGTAGAGTGGAAAACAGAAATGAGGTATCTAATTATTATTAAGCAGCATAAATGTATTTAAAATCTCGTACGTAAAAAGTGCATAGCCCTACTGCCCACATACATGAAGAGTGCCCAGCATAAAAGCCCACTAAACTGCCTGCCAGGGGACTGTCCTGACTGTCCACCCTCATTCCCAAACTCCAAAGAAAGGGCCAGCGCATTCAGGACACGCCTAAGATATTATAAAATCTGAGTGCCTGAGTGCAGGCTAGACAGCAAGAGATGTTAAGGCCAATAACTTTCAGAAATAAATTTAAAATCTTTCAAGATCCTTTTCTGGGTTCTGTGTGTTTGTGAGAATTGCCAGGCTGCTAAAGTGGGCATTTTTCTTGGTTAGATCAAAGACCAATTTTGACCACACATCACCACCCTTCCAGAAGGTCTTCCCTGGTCTCTACAGGAGACTGGTGAGGGCTAAAAGGCCACGGGACAGATGGGCCTGAACTACTGCTAGGAAATGGTTGCAACGGGGAATCCCAAAGGAAAGCTTGAGAGGGGACATTTTCTGAACACTGCAGAGACTTTGTCAGTTGGGACCCTGACCACAAAGACTTCTGTCCCACCCTGAGACTGGAATGAAATGGAGGTAAATCCCTGTCTACAACCTCCCTTGTCCCCTTGACCCTTCCCCCACCTGCAACAGAAACCAATCCTGGCCAGGTCACTGCAGCATAACTGTGGCAAACAGTCAACCACCACTGAGATACACTAGCAAAGCCAGAAGCTCTGGTTCCAGCCCATTCATTTACTAGATGGGGAAACCAAGGCTCAGGCTGATGAAGCAGAGCCAGGGGTTGGCATCCAGGTCTCTGACTCTCAGGACCTCATACTTCTCTCTCAACCAACTCCCCAAACCTTCCCCAAGAACCTGGCTCTCAGCTGTGCGCATCAAAGAGCAAGAGGAGCTGAGAAGCCTCAGAAAACTTAGGTCTCAACTGGCAGAGAAACCTAAACCCTCTCTTTCCTAGAAGGAAGCTGAAACATGTATCATGATTATATGCTCTAATCTTTCTAAAGGGAGAGAAAAAAGCAGGTAAACCAACAAAATAGGGATAACACAGTCTTTGTTGTAGCTCTCAAGTCCCACAGCCCTTTACTAACAGTGTTCTGCATTCAGTCAACTCTCCAGTGATCATAATTAGCTCAGCCCAAGTAAGGAACTCTAGAATCCAGGGCTGCACTGGGTACTGAGACGCTCCAGGCAGATGGAGAGTCGTGACATGACAAAAGGACAAGGCTTTACTATCCCTAACGCCCAAGTGCTAGTGAACTGAACTGAAACACTTTTTAAGTTTCAGAGGAATGCAAACATTAAATACTTCAAAACAAAAATTAAACAGGAAAACAAGATAATCAACTGCCTTTTTGTAGTTAAAATAATCTGAAAGAAGTTTAAAAATAAACAAACTAAAATTTCTATAACTATTATCTTATTTGCCAGTTTTGAAGATGTCTTCAGTGCCAGAACTTGGAGACAGAAAAAATGTCATTGTATTACTTCTGAAGTGATAATAAACAACAGAACCCCATCTCAGATGGATGGATTTCTTTCCTATAGTGGCCAAAAAGCAAGTTGAACTCTATGTACAACAGACTATACAATTAGGATCATTTAAAAATAATGAGACTCCTCTCTTTGCCTTCTTCCAAAGTATATAATATATATTTAACAGCACATAAGACACCACTTGAGCTTCCCTTGTAGCCAACAGGAAGTATTTTCACATATAAAAATTAAAAATTTAAACTTTTAAATCATTAATATTTTTTAAACATAATACAGACTTAAAAATTGTTCAACATTAACCCATGACCCCACCCCTAGCACAAAAAAATCCACCCCAATCCAGAAGTCACAGTTTTTGTTCCTAAAATTCCCACAGCACTGAACTTGATCTTCACTTCAAGCCGACTGATAACAAGAGGTCCCTAACAGACATCCCCAGGAACAGAAGCACGATCGACGCTGTGTCTCTTATCTACCTGGGCAGCACTGGTGCACCTCTGAGGTCAGGTCCATGGGATTCGGCCCCCACACTAGGGTCCTGGAAGGGTGAGCTGGCAGCTTCCCTCATCTTCCCCCTCGAAGGCTGTCCAATAAGCACCTGGGAATTGACTTTTCTTGGGAAAAGGGTGCTGGTAACAGCTGTCAGGGCCAAGGCAATAGTGAGAAGTTCAGTTCTCTGCTCTTTGGATGAACTGTGTAAAACATTTCTTTTAAAAGACACAATGTTAAAAATATTAAAAATGTCTACAAAATCTGGAGGGCTGTCTTTTTCTCAAAGGATAAAGCTTGTGGGGTGGTAGGAAAAAAAATTGAGGGCCCAGAACTATAACTCTGCAGCAAAAGATAGATAGATGCCCTTCAAACATGTCACATTCTTAAGAGGTCTTGCTAAAGTAGCAAGAGCTGAGGGTGACTGTTATGAGTAACAGCAGGAGGGGCACCAATTCCTGCAGGGGAGGTTCCTACTGTGCACCCCACCCTGCACAAGAATGTCAGGCTTTAGGGCAGCTGCCATGGGCCCCAAGGGCATCAGGACTCTGCCTCTGAACCAGAGCTGCTTTCCCGACTAACTTCGATCTGGAGAGATGGTAAGTTATCTAACCGGCTCTTCTTTTGGCGAGACTGTTCTTTCTCCTTAATCAGAGCCCCCCATGCCCTTTGCAGCTCGGAGTCATCTTCCTCAGTGCCAGGAGCCCTATGATCCACTTTCTTCATGTTCTTTTCTTTGGTCTTGGATGCAGATCCTAAGCGAGTCCATAAACTACCTGTTTGAATAAGAAGGCATTTTAGATTTGGTAGTCAATGCTGAGAAGCAGGGTAGTACTGAGGAAGCAGGGGTAATGTCCACATCCGATGAGCAGGACACACTGGTGGTGCTCTGTGGCACTAGCAACCACTGCACAGCCTTGGGGAGGTAATCTTACATCTGAGGCTGCAAACGCAGGGATCTGGACCTAAGGGGAGATTCTCACAGATAGGGGACATGTGCCCCCTCCCCTGATGCTAGCCATATCAGAGTCATCTGGTTTATGCCACACCTGCCCCTCTCTCACCATCCTGTACACAGCTGAATTTTTCCATGAGTGGGCATAGCTCATGCCCAGCCATAACATTCTACAAACTGATGGGTCTGAAACACTATAAACTTTCAAAGAGTCTTCCCACCCTCCATTAATTTTAAAAATATACTTTATCAATATCTAATAATGGAGAAATATGTGTTTAGAATTTCATAGTATAGCCATACCATAAGGCAATTAAGTTTTATTTATAAAGAATATAACAATGTCGCCCTGGCCAGTTTGGCTCAGCGGTTAGAGCGTTGGCCTGCGGTCCGGAGAGACCCGGGTTCGGTTCCCACTAAGGGCACGTACTTCGGTTGCAGTTTCTCCCCGGCCCTGGTTGGTCGTGCGGGTGGCAGCCACTCGATGTGTCCCTTCACGTCGATGTTTCTCTCTCTCTCTCCCTTCCTCTCTCTCCCTCCCACTCTATCTGTACAAAAAATGGAAAAATATCCTCGGGTGAGGATAAAAAAAAAAAAAAAAAAAGAATATAACAATGTAGCCTGCCTGGTGTGGCTCAGCGGAATGAGCTCAGTCCCATGGACTAAGAGGTCCCGGTTCAATTCCCGGTCAGGGCACATGCCCAGTAGGGGGCATGCAGAAGGCAGTCGATAAATGTTTCTCTCTTATATCGATGTTTCCATCTCTCTCTCCCTTCTTCTCTCTCTGAAAAAATCAATAAAAACACATTTTAAAAAAAGAATATAACAATGTAGAAATATGACTATGATAAAACGTTATATGAAAAAGCAGGATATGTATATGGACAAAGATTGGAATAGCATAATGAAACTAAAAAGTATTTGTGCTAAATTGAAAGAACCAGGGGTGGGTCTTTTTCCTATTCTCTAAATTTTCCATACTGTTACCATTATTATTATTGTTGTTATTACTACTATAATGATTACAATGGAAGGAGAAAAAATAATTTATTTTTGGCATTTGCTATTTACTGCCTTCTGCTTAACCAAGTATTTCTTTCTTTCTTTTTTGTTAATCCTCATCGAAGATATTATTCCACTAATTTTTATTTTTATTTATTTTTTAATTCTCACCCAAGGATATTTTTCTATTTATCTTCAGATAGAGTGGGAGGGAAGGGGGGGAGAAAAAGAAAGAGAGAGAGAAACATTGACGTGAGAGAGACACATCGACTGGTTGCCTCTTGCATGACCCCAACCAGGGCCGGGGACAATCTGCAACCGAAGTATGTGCCCTTGGCTGGAATCGAACTCAAGACTCTTTGGTCCGTGGGCTCTACTCAGTAACTCTACTGCTGAGCCAAACTGACCAGGGCTATTCTACTGATTTTTAGAGAGAGTGGACAGGCCCAGCCGGTGTGGCTCAGTGGATTGAGCACTGTCCCATGGACTGAGAGGTTCTGGTTTGATACCCAGTCAGGGCACATATGCCAGGGTTACCGGCTCAATCCCCAGTATGGGAAATGCAGGAGGCAGCCAATTGATGTATTTCTCTCACATTGATGTTTCTCTCTCTCTCATAAAATCAATAAAAAACAAAAATGAATACATAAAAAAAAATAAAGAGAGAGTGGACAGGAGGGAGGGGGAAAGAGAGAAATATTGACGTGAGAGATGTGAGAGACACACATCAATTGGTTGCCTCCTGCATGACCCTGACTGGACCAGGGCTAGGGCTGGGGATTGAACCTGCAACCCAGGTACATGCCCTTCACCAGGAATCAAACCAGAGACCCTTTGTTCTGCAGGCCGAAGCTCCAACCACTGAGCCAAGTCGGCCAGGGCTGCTAACAAAATACTTCTATGCTTTACCCATTGTCCCTGTTCTTACCCAGTTCCCATCCCCATCAGTTTTAAGTGTTACTAACCTGATTTCTTCTCCCAAGTATCAGAATAGAGGCCTTTAATGTCTTGCCTGGGAACACCTAACCTACTATGTACATCAGAAAAGGGCTCTCTTCGAATGATGGGGTTACAAGCCTTTTCTGGAGAATGTGGTCTTTTTCCTAACCGCTGGCGTATATCTAGAAAAAAAAGTAATACTGTTACCAAGCATGTGTGTTTTGCTATCTGTGCTGTCAACCTGAGATCTATACAGGGCCTGGTGCAGATCTCCCCGAGTGAGGACAAAGGGCTGATACACTCGAGCTTCTAAAAGCCTTCTCTCTATGCCATGATTTTCAACCTTTTTCATCTCATGGTACACATAAATTAATTACTAAAATCCTGTGGCACACCCCAAAATTTATTTTTTGCTGATTTGACAAAAAGGAAAAAAAAAAGGTGTAATTTTGATTCATTCATATGGGATGACCATTGTTGTATTGGCTGTTGTCATTTATTTATTTGACAGTCTAAGGGAAAAGAGGTCAGTGCCTCTGACTAAATAGTCAGGTATTGCATGTTTTAAAAATTCTTGGAGAACACTGGTTGAAAATCGCTGCTTTATGCAATCAGTCAAGATTGCCTTAAGAAAACTCAGATGTAGGGTTTCTCAGGGGAAAAAATCTTAGCCGACTGCTCCAGAAAGGAATTTGAGGCAGAATCAACTGTCTTTTGTTTTTTACATAGAATCAAGCAGACCAAAAAAGTTTACAAACATTTCAGTTAACCAGCAGTACTACAAAAACCCAGCACAGAAGCCACAATCTTTGAACATATAAGTTCTCAATAAACTCATCACACTTAATAAATGTAATGAGAGTGGTGAGAAACAAAGGATCAAGAGAAGATGTCTCAAATCAAATTTGCTTTTCCTCTAACCACCTCCGAAATCTGCCAGATCTCCTGAGTTCCTTCTCACCATAACAGCAACAACAAAACCACATTTATTTAGCAAGTCATTGTGCTGGGGCTTTTACCCATCTTGCTTATTCTGAGAGAGCAGCATCCCCATCATTCTAGTCCCTCAGGTCTGGAACCCTTGGTTTTTCTCCGTCCTCCCTCACATCCCAGTGCTGAGTCTTCTTCCCTCACAAGGTTTGACGTTCTCGTCTATTCTGTCTCTGTGGTTCCTGACCGAGGCCCTTGTTATTTACTTACTCTATACCCTACCCCACTGTGCTCCCAAGTTATCTTTCTAAAATAGATATAAGATCAGGTAACTTTCTGAAAAAACTGCATTTGCCAACTGAGATCCTATTCCCTCCCCAAGGCCTCACTCTAAAGCCACTTTCCCTGAGAAGCCTTCCACAGTTCTGCTAGTGAATTTCGCTTCCCTCTCTGCTCTCACAGCCCACTGCTTACAGAACTATCAGAGCACTGCCTCCACTCTTCTTTGGGTGGAATAATCTGAATGTGTGTACTTGTGTTTCTCCATCAGAGTTCTATGATGACTCTGCATCCCCTCCAAAAACTTCGAACACCCCTGGCACCTAGCCCTGGGCCAGGCACACAGCAGGCATGGCCAAGTACCCACTACAGGCATATCTAGCTTAAATTCTTAACCACTTTGACATCAACAACTTAGTTTCCATTACCCTTATGTATAAAAAAAAAATACCAATGACATACAGAGTAAAATAAAGGTTAGGTTCAAAAACATTGAAAGCTAATTTTGAAAAGTCTTGATTATTTTTCATGTCCTAAAGTCCAATGCCTAACCCAAAATTTAGAAGTAATGAACCAGAACAACTAAATCTGTCCACAAACAGCAACGTTTTATCTAAAAACCTATCCCTGTCCCAGTTTGCTTTCTGGAGCTCAGAATGAAATCCAGAAACACAACTGAACAACAATACCTGATTTAGTACTGCTGCTGGATGGCCGTGGACGTGTGTGCTGACGTTTTTCATCTAATAAATGTCGGACATCTACAAATTTCTCAGGTGGTAATTTGTTACCAATTCGATTTTTTATATTGCTTGTGGATATAGTATCTGCCCTCATGGAGTTCCTTAAAAAAAAACAAAAACAAAAAAAAACACACATACACACACAAAAAAAACAGGGCACAGTTACCAACTTCAACTATGGGACAACACCCACGCAACAATCTCATATACTTTTGAGGAAACAATGAAATCCCTATCTAAAATAGTCAACATTCACTTACAAATACTCTATACTGATAATTATTTGCTTACAAAAATCATGATCAGCCTGTTGTAGAGACCAGCCAGACGAGCAAGTTCCCAAGTTTTCCAGGGTGGTTTCCACACATGACATCTGTAAGCCATCACAGAGCACGTAACTGTGAGTCCCCTTCTCCTGAGACAAACATTAAGTAGAGGCCTGTAAAGGGCGTGGGGCCTCTGCTCACCCAGGCTGTCACTGGCTGCAGTTAAGATACAACAGAGTCCACAATCCCCCTTTTTAAGGGCTTACTTCTCTGTCAAAGACACCTGCTACCATACTAGGGATTATTTTGGCAGCATTATTTTGGCAGATTTGCTACTACAAAGTTCTATGAAAACTAAAAATAAGGATATGAACAAAGCCATACATACTAGCTTGTTTTTTCATTTCCCCAATTACATCACCAAGAACACTTAGCGAGAACTTCCTTAGATTTCAACTCTTTGAGTTGTGCATGTTTATCTGCCCTCAAGAATTCGCTCCCCCTTATCCCCACTAGTCCTCCAAGAAATGCACATTAAAATAACTTTTTTTTTTGTCCATGAAATTAGCAAAAATTAGAAAGTGGTAATACCTAACATTGGCAACTGTGTAGGTAACAGGTGATTGAATAAAACCTTTCTGGAATGCAATTTTGCAATAGCGCATTTTATTAAAAAAATTTTTTTTCTTCATTGATTTTAGAGTGGGAGAGGGAGAAATAGAAACATTGACTGGCTACCTCGTGTGTGCCCCCACTGGGGAATTGGCCCACAAACTGGGCATGTGCTCTGACCTGGAATCGAACTGGTGACCTCTTGGTGCATGGGTCAACACTCAACCACTGAGCCACTCAGGCTGGGCCCGCATTTTAAAACATGCGAATTTTTCGAGCAATGGGAATTCAAGGAATTTACCTAGTAGTGGGATAGTAAGAAAATAGAAACCTAAATGTCCATCAATAAGTGACTGGGTTAAATAAACCATAATACTGTATTTTGAAACAACGAAAAAATAGCAGATGTCTACAATATATTAAATGAAAAAAGCTTACCACAGAACAATATAAATAGCATAACATCATTTCTGTACAACTATATCAATAATTTCTCCATGTATATGCATGAAACTAGAAAAAAGGTTATTCACCCAACTACTACTAACAGCCCTTATCTTAGGAGAGAATGATTATATAGGTGATTTTCACCTTTTATATTGTCTATAATAAGGATTTCTTCTTGTATATTGTGAGGAAAAATCAAACACTTTTATTCAAACTCTCTAAAGGACTAAAATTAGAACAGATAAAGTGATTATAAAACTAAGAGGAATTAAAAGGAAGTTAGTAATTAGTATTTAAAATCAAATTAAAAGCTAGCACTCAGAAAAAGAAAAAATAATTTTACCTAATATTTTTTAATTGAGATTCCACTTCATCAGCATACATAGTCATTTTCATGCTTTTCTTTGGTGAAGGAGTGGAAATCATTTTCAGTTCTAGATCATAGTCCATTTCATCGGAGTCTGAGCTGCTGGCACTGGAACGCCTGGATGTGCTCCGCTCCCGGGTCTGCTTGAGAGCTGGGAGCTCCTCATGGTACTCTACCACCACCCTGTCATCTGCATCCATGTCCTGGTCTTCCTCCTCCTCTTCTTCCTCCTCCTCCTCAATGGGTTCCTCAGGAACATTCACTAGTCCTAAGGAATTTAACCAAAAAACATTAAGGAAAGCAATGACAAGTCTAATTTTCTATTCACTTCGATGACCATTTTAAAAAGAAGCGGTTCCTATGCCCAAGATTTTACTGACACATTATCTATAACAGTGCCATTCTGATACCTGTAACAGAAGAATGGCTAGGTAAAGTATGATCTAGCAGCCTATGGCATTTTATAAAATTATCTAAAATACAGTCCATTGTCATTATTCAGATTCTATATATGTGAATTTGCCAAATTTATTTCTAATTCCAAAATCTATGTAATAAATACCACAGTGCTTTCATGGTCATTTGTGGACATGTGCAGAACGGCAAAAAAATCTGAGTCACCACACATGTACCTTCCCAGCTGATTATCAAACATGGCAATGCTCTGCCTTCTTGCTCATCTCTCACACTGTAAGGTAAGTGTCCTTTTTGCAGTCTACTGGGTGCCATGTTTTTCACGTTTTTGTGGCATTTGTAGTGATCTCACTGTTTGGTTATGCCAAAACTGTCTAGTGTTCCTAAGCACAAGGAGGATGTAACGTGCTTTAATGGGAAAAGATGTGTACTAGACAAGCTTTGTTCAGACATGCATGAGTTATAATCCTGTTTGCATTAAAATAAAATGTCTTTAAACAGAAAGACACATCAAACAAGGTTATATACTGAACAGATGACAAAAATGGTATGATCAGATTCTCAATGTTTCAGTATTTGCTCCTTCAATGATCACAGTGACTTTACAGACCATAATCACTGAAAATAATAAACATCTATGGTAACTCTAAAGTTCATGAAAAAATGCTTATAAACAGTGGAAGAAGAGAATATAAAATATATGGTCACAAAAATTATAGTATTTATTATGAAAAGAAACAAATAGGAAAAATGTAAAATGAAGTCAATTGTTATATTAGAGTGCTAGAATTAGGGGCAATTTCCTTTTTAATTTCTTTAATATAAATACAAAGATTACATGATGAAATTATCTTAAATATTTTAAAGTAAATGAAACTGAAAAAGTGTAACTGCATTAGATGCAAGTTTCAAATATACCATTTTTGATATACACAATAAAAACGTATAGATGTCACCTCTCCCTGTTCCTGTTACAATGATAAATGTGCATGCATGTTATTCCATGTTTGTATGCTGACTTAGCTAGTTATAGTTCTAAAAGCAAGTAGAAGATCCCACAGGTTAGGTTCAAAATAAAAACAAATCTTTATAAAACATAATGAAAATGGTTCTTTTACAATAAGCAGAGAAATAAAGAAAGAAAGAAGAAGAGAAAGAAGGAAAGGAAAAGAAACCTGAGTCATGATATCCCACTTTTTGGAGGCATTCATGTGCACAAGCCAATAAGCATAGAACGCTAGATATAGCAGCCTATTTTAATTTTCAGATAAATGAACAATACTATCAGCTCATCTGATAAAATATTTTAAAAAATTTTTTCATGCAGCTTTTGAAATAAATAGTAGGAAAAATTAGATTCCTAAGAATAGCTTTATTTTAATTTCCCCTATGTCACATTTGGCCCTTTTTGTTAGAACAGTTTTTATAAAATCATTTGACCTCTTTGTATGGGCAATTTAAAATTAATTGTGACTTGACTTACTTTCCTATATGTTGGCAGAGGGTGAGGGCAAGGAAGAGAGGATGATAAAGTTTGGAACCTTAAAAGACTGTATTAAGAATAAAAATATGATTTCGGGAGCCAAACATGTGTCTACCCAAGAGCTGAGCAGGCAACTACCGGAATGTCGATGTTTATAGGACGTCAAGCCAACATCATCCCCAATCAGGGCTCTCTTCTTGATCACATCCCGTTGAATGCGACGGGAATGATATCTTCGCTTCCTGCAACATTGCCAAAATAAGCACATAATCAAAAACCAACAGGAAGGACCTTGAAACCCACTGATTAATTTCAACTACACCCTGACACAGTGTCAGGTACTGAAACAGAGACATCTGAAATGAAACTGAAGCTCAGCATTCTCACACCATTTACCACAGTTAAGAAACTTGCACTCTTCCCTCTTATCTTCCTTCGAGTCCACACATGGTGTTGACATTACACTGCAGGATACCAACTAAAGGATTGTTAAAAGCTTAACTATTGTATTTTACACTTCTGGACTCACCAAGAATTACTAAGAATTCCTTTCATGCCTCCGTAGTTTGGATTCCCATATTTCATGTAATACTGACTTCTTCTGGCTGCTCCAAGTTCCTTTTTGTCATCTAAAAATTAATTACAACAGTTACCTAGGATTTCCTGTGGGTGTGAAAACTATGTGGAATGGTTTAAAACAAAAAAGATGGTTTTGCATAGCTGGGATCAGATAAGCACAATCTACTATCAAAGGGAAAGATGCACTTTAAACACTCCCTGAGTGCCCGCCAAGGTAGTGCAGGGTAGGGGGCAGGGCAGGGTAGAGCAAAACAGAGATAAATGAGGTAAAGCGGCTGTTAAGGAGCTGACTTCATAGAGAAAATACTAGAAAACACCAACAATACAATATATAAGGTTCTAAGAAGCATGAGAGAGCTTCAGTCCTTATAAGTGCTCAGGAATCCAAAAGGCTTTTTATTTATTAAAAAAATTTTTTTTCTTTATTGATTTTTAGAGAGAGGAAGGAAGAGGGAGATAGAAACATCAATGAGCCCTGGCCGGTTTGGCTCAGCGGTTAGAGCGTCGGCCTGCGGTCCGGAGAGACCCGGGTTCGGTTCCCGCTAAGGGCACGTACTTCGGTTGCGGTTTGTCCCCGGCCCTGGTTGGTCGTGCGGGTGGCAGCCACTCGATGTGTCCCTTCATGTCGATGTTTCTCTCTCTCTCTCCCTTCCTCTCTCTCCCTCCCACTCTATCTGTACAAAAAAATGGAAAAATGTCCTTGGGTGAGGATAAAAAAAAAAAAAAAAAAAAAAAAAGAAACATCAATGAGAGAGGACACTGATTGACGGCCTCCTACATGCCCCCACTGGGGACTGGGCCCACAACCCGGGCACGTGTCCTGATTGGGAATCGAACCAGCGACCTCTTGGTGCATGGGTCAATGCTCAACCACTGAGCCACACTGGCCAGGCCCAAAAGGCTTTTTAAAAGAAGTGGCATTTCCACTGTCCCCTGAAAGGTGATATTCATTTCTGAATGACAACACACCAATAACACAGAATCGGGATTAAAGAAACAGACTATATTAATTCCATATATTTGAGAAATCATTTTTTTCAGTTTATCGTGATTTCCTCAAATTGGCTTAAGGAAAACAGCATAGTTCCATACATATATCTAGAATGCACTCAACCACTCAAATCAGTAAATTAGAAAAGATCCCTTTGTCAGGTTATAATGCCAGTTTATAGGAAGGAAAGGTGGTCAGTGATCACACATAATTTTCATAATATAAAGGACTCTGGCAGCTCCTTGAGCACACTCACTGACTGCAAAGGACAAACCCCAATGGGAATGTATGAGTGCTATGGGTAAACTTAGTGACACAGACTAGTATGTACCCCCAACAAAAAAACATGCCCGAGGAGAAATAACTGGTTCCAGATCTGAGTCAGAGAAAATACAAGTTGGGTCTGGAAAAAAAAAGATGTTTTAGTGTGCCATAAAGAAAGTGAAAGGGACTCTACTGGCCAAATCCAAGACAATTCATGAATCAAAACAATGATAGCAATAGAGGATAACCCAATGAATAAAACTCCATGAGTCTAACCTGATATAAATAAGTAAATAAATAAATGGATAAAAGGGAAAGCTCTTTCCTTACAGCAAGCAGATTGCCAACTAATAAAGAGGATGAAGTTAAAAAAAATCAATGGATGCTAAAGCTACTGTGTGAAAGTTTGATGAACAACAGGCTACTTACATAATCTCAAAGTATTTTCCCACAAATTTTTAAATCACAAGTGGGAAAATAGAAACTTTACAGTAGAGAGAAACCTGGCAATCATTACCTTAACCAAGTGATAAAAGTAAACATCCCCAGGAATGAGAGAAATAAGTATAACGTGCCTCCTGATATAAGGCATGGAAAACAACACAATATCACTTCTGTAGTACTCTTCCCTAAAATGCACAACCCAGATTTAATCAGGAAGAAAAATGAGACAAAAATCAAAGGGCAGTCTATAAAATAATGAGCCTATATTCTTTATGAAATGGTTCAGTCAAGGAAAACAAAGCCAAAGAGTATGTCCAGATCCAGAGAGACAAAGGAGTTATGGTGTACTTCAACCTCAGTCCTGGAGTGGATCCCAGTTTAGTGGGGGAGTAGTAAAAAGGAAAATCCAAATTTATTTGACAATCATAATCATCATCATCATCACCAAAAAATGCTACACATAGCACTCATGTGCCATGCGGTTTTAATACAGAGCGGGGGAATTCTTGGAACAACTGATGAAATCTGAACATGGACTATGGATTATACAATAGTGTTGTATTAATGTTAAATTTCCTGATTTTACAATAAAGATAAAAAAATAAAATAATCTGAAGACATAAAATAAAAATTTCCTGATTTTTATAACTGTGCTGTGTATAAGATAAAGTCCCTGTTCTTCAGAAATACATATTGAAGGATGCCAAAGTAAAGGGTCATCATCTCTAGTTAACTCTCAAACAATTAAAAAGAAACTGTGGTTTAATGTGCACCAACAATCATTGTGCATAAAACACCTTACAAATTATTAGAGACCTGATTTAATTCCTTAGAGAATTAGAGCTGAACAGCACTCTGAGCAATGTCCAGGAGGATATTGCTGTGATAAATAAAAATATACAATTTTAAAAGGTTTTCACAGTTCAGATGATAAACTGGCTGTAAAGCACATGGGGTAAACCAGCTTTGACAGAAAATAACTTACTTTAGCCAGAAACCACAAAAGAATACAAATAGTTAATATTTACTTTCAAAGTCAGAAATTCCAACTCAGGCAGCAAGCCATCATTTGAAGTGACTTTGAGATTATTTGGTCTAACTTCTGATTCAAAAGAGAAGGATGTAAGTCAATAATAAATCACTTTGATTAAAAATAAAAATCAACACCAAATATCACATTTACCTTTTGTAGCAAATCTCATGAATAACCTATTTCCTTTAGCAAGTTTGTTAGCTGGACGAAGATCGTTTCTTAGCAGAGACTCTTCTTCTACCTGAGATAATGTGTCCAACTTAAGAAAAAAGAGAATTTCAATATAAAAATTCAAGACATTTTCACTTTTATTCAGTAGCAAAGTTACCAGTGATTAAGAAAGCATTCTGCCTTTAATAATACTCATCAGCATTACAGCACTAGTTCCTTGGTAGAATTTCTAGGTCAGAGGTCTTCCTGGACCGTTTTGTCAAAAAATAATCTCCATCACTTTCTATCCACTTACCCTTCTTAATTTTCTTCATAGCACTTATCACTTCCTGACATTATATTATATTTCTGTGTATCTGTGTACTGTCTTCCCCGCCAGAATGTAGGCTCCAAGATGGCAAAGACTTGTTTTGCTTGACACTATATCCTTAGCACCTAGAATTTGGTTACAGTAGGCACTCAATGCATATTTCTTAAATGAATACATTTTAATTCTTCCAACAATAGTATATAATCCATTAGAAAAAATGCCATTGCTTGCTTTTTCTTCTTTATTGATTTTAGAGAAAGAGGAAGGGAGAGGGAGAGATAGAAACGTTGATGAGAGAGAACATGGTCTGGCTGCCTCCTGCATGCCCCATACTGGGGATTTGGCCCACACCTGGGCCATGTGTCCTGACTGGGAATTGAACTAGTGACCTCTTGGTGCATGGGTTGACACTCAACCACTGAGCCACACCAGCCAGCCATGCTTGCTTTTTCTTATTTTACTGATTAGATAGTACTTCCAAGTATTTCTCAATAAAATCATCTTCTTTTACAGAAGTATGAGTACTGTTCTAAGATCTCAAGATGAATCCTTCATTACAGTCACACAAACGTGAAGGCCGAGGGCCTGGTGCACCTTCAGAAACTCTAATGGTGAGAACCAGAGGATGAACACAACTTACTAAGTCTTTAAGCCTTAAATAAAAAGATAGTAAGCAGTTTGTTTACAGTAAAACCTTACACTTCTTTTCCCTATTATTTACCTCTACATCACTTGAGTTTTCATCTTCAACTTCTCCTTCTTCAGCCTCATCATCATCTGAACTGTCTTCCTGCTTGTCTAAAATGGAATGTGAGGGATAAGATAAACTTTAACATAACTCCATCTCTTATCATTTAAAAGTTTAATTATTCCCTTCTATTTACTGATAATCCAAAACATCAGGGCCTATTTCAGAAATAACTAGTAATAACTAGTGAAATAACTCTGCAAAGAAACCCAAACCAACTGAGTAAATAACAGGACTTTCAGCTCAAAAGTCCCTCCTTTGTGTTTGGTTACCTTTTTTGCTTTTCTCAGATGACTTGTCCTCATTAGCATCCCTGCTTCTTATCTTATCCAGGTCTGGCAGAGAGCTCATATTGATAAGGGCTCGTGTGGCTGTCATTTCATCCAGCCAAACCACATTACCTAAAATAAAATGCAAAATAAAACATTACATCACATCCAAATGGTTAAGTTTTCTGACACCAGAAACTGCATCATATTCACTATTACAACCTCATCTCGGTATGGATAGCAATAAACACACAAAACAACTAATGAAAAGACTAGAACGTAGTAGCAAAACCTCTTTGATGAAATTAGCCTTGGGCTACATTCCCAAACTGAGTTCCACAAAAGAATGGTCAAAGATTCTGCCCTGGCTGGTTTGGCTCAGCGGTTAGAGCATCAGCCTGCGGTCCAGAGAGACCAGGGTTCGGTTCCCACTAAGGGCATGTACCTCAGTTGCAGTTTGTCCCCGGCCCTGGTTGGTCGTGCGGGTGGCAGCCACTTGATGTGTCTCTTTCACGTCGATGTTTCTCTCTCTCTCTCTCTTCCTCTCTCTCCCTCCCACTCTATCTGTGCAAAAAATGGAAAAATGTCCTCGGGTGAGGATAAAAAAAAAAAAAAAAGATTCTAAGAAAAAGGGTTTGTATATTAAAACTGCCTGGCACACAGAACTATGTGTTAGTGCTTGATGAAAATGATGATAATAATTATCAAATAAATTTAGATTATCCTCTATGCCACTGCCTCTACAGGGAAGCCTACTGTTCCTTATCATCCAAACATGCCTTTTTAAAAAATTTATCTTTGCCTGGCCAGTGTGGCTCAGTGGTTGAGCGTCAACCCATGCACCAAGAGGTCACCGGTTCGATTCCTGGTCAGGGTACATGCCCAGGTTATGAACCCAATCCCCAGTGGGGGGCATGCAGGAAGTGACCAATCGATGTTCTCACTTACTCACTTATCGATGTTTCTCTCTCTCCCTCCCTTCCTCTCTCTCTAAAATCAATAAAGAAAAAAAAATTTTTTTTAAATTTATCTTTATGGTTGAAAGTATTACAGATGTCCCTCCTTTTTTACCCCATTAACCCCCTCCTTCCCATTCTAGCCCCCCATCCTGCCTTCACCACACTATTGTCTGTGTTCACTGGTTATGTGTATATGACATGCTTTTAAATAATGTTCCCCCATTGATGATGGCACCATCATGGGATATATAGAAAGGAGGCATTAACAGACACTTGGCTTTGTAGCAACTAACTGAATTTGCTTCTTTAAGGAAGATAATTTAGCAAGAAAAAGGTTTTGAGAAGTCTTGTAAAAAAGAACCCTGTTTATCTGTTTAAAACAGCACTTATACCCGGCAGGTGTGGCTCAGTGAACTGAGCGTCATCCCATAGACTGAGAGGTCCCAGTTCAATTCCCGGTCAGGGCACATGCTCAGGTTTTGGGCTGGATCCCCGGCAGGGGGTGTGCAGGAGGTAGCTGATCAATGTTTCTCTCTCACATCGATGTTTCTATCTCTCTCTCTCCCTTCCTCTCTAAAAAAAAAAAAACCAATAAAAATATATTTAAAAAAAAATGTTTAACAACCCCTGATTTGAATAATGTAAGCTAAGGAAAAATTTAAAAAGGACAAAAATCTTCTACTCAGTCATGTTCCTTCTTATTTCAATGAAAACAATGAATCCCACATCTCCCAAAGCAAGCAGCAGGAAAAAGCAATCTGCTACACAGGGCACAACCTAGTAGGTCAGCAAGCTGGTAGTAAGTAAAGCCAGACTAGAGGTCAGTCAAGACAAGAAGTCAGCAGAATGGTCACCAGAGTCAGGACAGGCTTGGAGTGGGAGGCAAGTTAAAATTTACAGTTGGTTCACAAGTTAAACAGCCCACAGGTGTGTACAAGCAGGTGAAGTTCCAGAAAACATAGTCCAAAGCAATCAGCGATGAGAGGTCTGGTACAGTGTCAGCAGGTTCTGATGCAGTTCTAGGTTAGAGACACTGAGGCAGAACCAGCCTCTGAATAAGCACATGGCAAGTTGCAATGACAAAGCCTAAAGCCCTAAAAACGCAGCCCTCAGCCCAAGTCTATACAGCTGGATCCAGCCCTTTGTTGGGAAATTGTGGGAGTTAAAGAGGCATCACGTTCACTGAACTCAGATGCCAGCAATCAGCTTTCTAAGCCCTGGTCACCACCGCCAAGCTGACTTGGAATACTCATGGGGTATAATTTGGCAGACTAGTTAATGCATCTGGTTCTCATCAACGGGCATTTTTTCTCTCCTATGCTAAGAGCACAGTTTAGGCATAGATAAGTAGTCTGGGCCATAATCATTCACCATATGAGATGGCAAGAACACTTTTAAAATAATAAACAAAAGTATATTCAACAGAAAACTTGGGTATACTTACAGGATGTATCATCCAACCATTCAATGTGAGCTGGAGGATATTCTTTAAAATAGGAAAAGATATCCTGGGTACTCATCTCATCTACTCCGCAAATATAGATCGTCTCCAGTCTCACTTTGGGGATTGCTAAAAAAAAAAGATAGAAAAGATGAGAGAATGTTCCCACCCACTACTGACATCTCACCAGTACTCCATTACACAGTTCAGATAATATGTGGTTAGAAAAGAAATGTGCTGAAAGAGATGACATTTATTTCAAAAGAAAATGAGATACAACAAGAAGGTACACTCGCCCTGGCCGGTTTGGCTCAGCGGTTAGAGCGTCGGCCTGCGGTCCTGAGAGACCCGGGTTCGGTTCCCGCTAAGGGCGCGTACCTCGGTTGCAGTTTGTCCCCGGCCCTGATCGGTCGTGCGGGTGGCAGCCACTCGATGTGTTCCTTTCACATCGATGTTTCTCCCTCTCTCTCTGTTCCTCTCCCTCCCTCCCACTCTATCTGAACAAAAAATGGAAAAATGTCCTCGGGTGAGGATAAAAAAAAAAAAAAAGAAGGTACACTATTTTAATTTTTATCACAGACCAAACAGCATTAAATTTCAGAACAGAAATTTTGGCTGAGAAAAATTAAACAAGTATCATTGATAAAATAAACAGTACCTCTCTCCAAATTAATCTGTAATAATTAAAGCAATACTGCCCTGGCCGGTTTGGTCAGCAGTTAAGAATATCAGCCTGCGGTCCCAAAAGACCCAGGTTCGGTTCCTGCTAAGGGCACGTACCTCGGTTGCAATTTGTCCCAGGCCCTGGTTGGGTCATGTGGGTGGCAGCCACCCAAAGTGTACCTTTCACGTCGATGTTTCTCTCTCTCTCTCTCCCTCCCGCTCTATCTGAACAAAAAATGAAAAAATGTACTCGGGTGAGGATTAAAAAAAAAAAAGCAATACCAAATTCATGAGCATCGCCATGCACCAAGAGAGGTCGCTAGTTCAATTCCTGGTCAGGACACATGCCCAGGTTGTGGGCCTGATCCCCAGTGGGGGGCATGCAGGAGACGGCCAATCAATGTTCTCTCATCGCCCTGGCCAGTTTGGCTCAGTGGTTAGAGCGTCGACCTGCAGTCCAGAGAGACCCATGTTCGATTCCCGCTAAGGGCATGTACCTCGGTTGCAGTTTGTCCCCGGCTCTGGTTGGGTCGTGCAGGTGGCAAACACTCGATGTGTCCCTTTCACATCGATGTTTCTCTCTCTCTCTCTCCCCATCCCACTCTATCTGAACAAAATATGGAAAAATGTCCCTGGGTGAGGATAAAAAACAAAACAAAACAAAATGTTCTCTCATCGATGTTTCAATATCTCTCCCCCTCTCACTTCCTCTCTCTCTAAAATCAATAAAGGAGACACCATCTTAGGGCTGATCCGTGGTGGACATTTTCAGAGCAATCGAACCGCAGTCTGTCTTCCCCGTACTGTCTCGTGTGAAAGCCTGAGCTGGCTGTGTAGCTTTCTCTCTTTGTCTCATAGTCATGTCCACCAATGAGAATGCTAATTCACCAGCTGCGCGCCTTAACAGGTTCAAGAACAAGGGGAAAGACAGTACAGAAATGAGGCGTCGCCAAACAGAAGTTAATGTGGAGCTGAGGAAAGATAAGACGGATGACCAGATGCTGAAAAGGAGAAATGTAAGCTTATTTCCTGATGATGCTACTTCTCCACTGCAGGAAAACCGCAATAACCAGGGCACTGTAAATTGGTCTGTGGAAGACACTGTCAAAGGCATAAATAGCAACAATTTGGAAAGCAAGCTCCAAGCTACTCAGGCTGCGAGGAAACTGCTTTCTAGAGAAAAACAGCTACCCATAGACAACATAATTCAGGCTGGTTTGATTCCAAAATTTGTGTCCTTCTTGGGCAGAACTGACTGTAGTCCCATCCAGTTTGAATCTGCTTGGGCCCTCGCTAACATTGCTTCTGGAACATCAGAATAGACCAAAGCTGTAGTAGATGGAGGCACTATCCCAGCATTCATTTCTCTGTTGGCATCTCCCCATGCACACATCAGTGAACAAGCAGTATGGTCTCTAGGAAACATTGCAGGTGATGGTTCAGTTTTCTGAGTTGGTTATCAAGTATGGTGCAGTTGACCCACTCTTGGCTCTTCTTGCAGTTCCTGATATGTCATCTTTAGCATGTGGTTACTTACACAATCTTACCTGGAGCACAGCACAGGTGTTCTATAAATACTTGGTGAAATGAGTTCAACAATGGGAACAAACACACAAATAGGACATTTACCAAAAAAAGAGGGAAAAAAAGGGTTGCACTAATTGATCTGAAGAGATGTGGATGTCTCCACTTGGCTTTTCCAGTTCTTGTACTCTAGACTGAATGAATGCTGAAATTTCATGTCATTTTCAGACAGGTAGTGAATGGGTCTGTGGTAGAACTTGAAATGAGGGGTCTTTAAAGAGCAAATATTCTCAATAATAGACTTTTCCAGATCTTTGTTGCAACAAGAATCCTACACCCCTGTTAGATGCTGTTGAGCAGATTCTTCCTACTATAGTTCGTCCCCTGCATCACGATGACCCAGAAGTATTAGCAGACAGCTGCTGGGCCATTTCTTACCTTACTGATGGTCCAAATGAACGAACTGAAATGGTTGTGAAAACAGGAGTTGTGCCCCAACTTGTGAAGCTCCTAAGAGCTACTGAATTGCCAATTGTGACTCCTGCGCTAACAGCCATAGGAAATATTGTCACTGGACAGATGAACAGACTCAAGTTGTAATAGATGCAGAAGCACTTGCTGTCTTTCCTGGCCTGCTAATGAATACCAAAACTAATATTCAGAAGGATGCTACATGGAAAATGTCAAACATCACAGCTGGCCACCAGGACCAAATAGAGCAAGTTGTGAATCATGGATTAGTCCCTTTCCTCACTGTTGTTCTAAGGCAGACTTTAAAACATAAAAGGAAGCTGTATGGGCTGTGAACAACTATACAAGTGGTGGAACAGTTGAACAGATTGTATGCCTCGTTCACTGTGGCATGATAGAACCATTGATGAACCTCTTAATGGCGAAAGATACCAAAATTATTCTGGTTGTTCTAGATGCCATTTCAAATATCTTTCAGGCTGCTGAGAAACTAGGTAAAACTGAGAAACTTAGTATAATGATTAAAAAATGTGGAGGTTTGGACAAAAGTAAAGCTTTGTAAAACCATGAAAATGAGTCTGTGTACAAAGCTTCACTAAAGATGATTGAGAAGTATTTCTCTGTAGAGGAAGAGGAAGATCAAAATGTCCTGCCAGCCCTGGCCAGTTTGGCTCAGCGGTTAGAGCGTCGGCCTGCAGTCTGGAGAGACTCGGGTTCGGTTCCCGCTAAGGGCATGTACCTCGGTTGCAGTTTGTCCCCGGCCCTGGTTGGTCGTGCGGGTGGCAGCCACTCGATGTGTCCCTTCACGTCGATGTTTCTCTCCCTTCCTCTCTCTCCCTCCCACTCTATCTGTACAAAAAAAAAAAAAAAAAAAAAATGTCCTGCCAGAAACTACCTCTGAAGGCTATACATTCCGAGTTCAGGATGGCACTCCTGGGACCTTAAACTTTTAGAATGAACAGCTGAGGCATCAAGTTGTCTGTTGTGTACTATGTGTGGTATAAGTTGGTCTTACTGTTTCTCTACTAAGAACTCTTTTTAAATGTGGTTTGTTACTGTAACACTTTTTACAATGAAACTATACTTGAACAGCTCCAAACTGTACATATTGTATGAAGCTTCTGCCCTCAATAGGTTTCTTATTTCTATGTGGAATTTCACATCTTGCAGTGTCCTGAAAATAAAGGATTAAATTCCGCCATTTTTTGTTATTTAAAAATAAATAAATAGAATAAAGGAAAAAAAAATTTTTAAAGCAATACCAAATTCAACAGAATTATTCATTAAACCTGAAAGCTGATTGTAAAACTTTTAAATGTGTGTCAAAGAAAAATGTGCACTAGTTAAGGTAATATCTGAAAAAGAGATGCTGCCCCTGGATATAAAGCAAAGAAGGAAATTAAAGTAAAAAACCCTACAAATAATAATAAAAAAAAAAGACAGCTTAAAATAAAAATGGGCAGAGAACATGAGCAGGCGATTCACATAACAAGAAATACAATAAATAAATGAAAAGATGGCTGACCTCGCAATCAGAAAAATGAATACTAAAACAATATCCCAGTGTTGAATGACTAGAATTTTTTAAAAATTCATGTCTTTTATTATTAATTGTTGGTAGTGTGGGGGAAAGAGCCACTCTCTCTGCTGGTGGCAGTGTGAAGTGGCACAGCTACTCTGAAGGACAAACTGGGAGTGTCTATTATAAATGCAATTTAGCACATGCTCTACAGGCACAGGCACTCCTCAGTACCTACCCTAAACACATGTGGATTTACACAGTCGCTTACACAGAGATGTTTGTTTTGTCATTTTAAAGAGTGAAAGGTTTAAGGGGAGCCCATGTAGGTGTGTCCAGACAAAATCAGGCGATACCTTCCTGCCACCCAGATTATGAAGATGGAGATACCATCAAGACCTATAAATCTCAGCAAATCTTTATTAGTGAACTGCACTGCAATAGTGAACAAAGGCCCAAATGAGACACAGGTGTTCACAATGGATATGCAGACTGGGAAACTGAAGGAGTTAGACCAGGGGCCTTCTCAGTGCTTGGAGCTAAAAGCCATGAGTATGGATAAAAAAGATCCCACAGGAAGTAGAGATGGAACAAACAACAGGGAGAGCTCCTGGAGATGGCAGAGAAAACAGACTGAGGATCAGGGAAAAGGTATCTTGTTGACCTGATAACAGGGTTTAATCATAAATGAGACAAGCAAAAAAAAAAAAAAAAGACCAAAAGAAACTACAAAAAATAAATATCAAGAGCATCACAGCATTGTTATAACATTATAACATTTTTATTAAAAAAATAAACCCTGCTCTGGCCGGTTTGCCTCAGCGGTTAGAACGTAGGCCCGCGGACCTGAGAGTCCAGGGTTCGGTTCCTGCTAAGGGCACGTACCTCGGTTGCAGTTTGTCTCGGCCCTGGTTGGGGTTGTGTGGGTGGCAACCACTCGATGTATCTCTCT